AGAGAGAGAGAGAGAGAGAGAGAGAGAGAGAGAGAGAGAGAGAGAGAGAGAGAGAGAGAGAGAGAGAGAGAGAGTTTTCCATATGAGCAAAATGGGAACGAATCGGTCGCTAGAACATGGAAGTATACACTGCCACTTTTCCGTTCTTTGGGAGTGTATAGTGTATATTCCATGTTGTGGCCGTGGATACTTCCATGTTCTAGGGGAAGATTCAATCCCATTTTTTTCATTAGGTGAAGCGTGGCAATTTCAGTTTGTGTGTGTGTGTGTGTGTGTAGGATGTGCAAAATCGGAGTGAATCTTCAGCCAGAACATGGAAGTATACACTGACACTTTTTTTGACTTTTTTTTTTTTTAACAGGTCCTTATGGCCCTGAAACGGTTTTCGCCTTTGCGGTAGCAGATGCAGTGACCAGTCCTCGATCCCTAGACCTCGCCCTTCCCCGTGTACAGTACCAGTTGACCTGTGAGTGCTTGAACCCGCGACCTGTGTCTTGAAAGTCGCCTGTTTGTTTGCTGTAGGTAGGGTGGTCGTCGGGTCTTGAACAGTAGGTCTGTAGATTAGCAGTCTTAGCAGTGGTAGGGGTCGTAGCCGGTACAGTGCCGAAAGGTCAACGTAGGTCGCAGCTGCGGCAGCACTGAAGGGTCACATAGGTTAGACTAGGTCCTTCTAGAACAGTCTTCTCTGCCCCTTCATGAGTCCTAGCTGGGCAAGTGGGCAGTCTAACTCAGCCCAGTCAGCGGTACCCAGTCCCGGACGCACCTTGTCAAGTCAGCAAGTATCATGTGGGACTGTGTGCACCCCGGGCCCAGGGTCCAAAGGCAGACCTTTGACAATCCGAAGTATAATCAAGAGGCAGCGTAAAGTCATTCATTCATTCTGCCTGTGAGCCGTGCGGAAGCGCTGTCGGAGCATCTTGTGTACAATGGTCTGCAGGTGCCCAAAGGAGAAGTGGGCTAAGAGGAGGAAGATGCGACCATAAGCACTTGAGTTAGTATTAGGGGGGTAGACGGCAGCCATAGCTGCCAGTTAGCGTAGTTAGTGTGTGTGTGTGTGTGTGTGTGTGTGTGTGTGTGTGTGTGTGTGTGAGTGTGTGTGTGTGTGTGTGTGTGAGTGTGTGTGTTTGTGTGTGCGGGACATCCAGGGAGATCCAGGGCTTGCGTGTGCAAACAAGTTGCTGAGAGTGCAGCGATCGGCAACAAAGCGCTTGTACAACGTCTCTAATCTAATTAAATTAGATTAGAATAGAATGTCAGTCGATCATATATTTGAACACAGAACAGCTGCCTAGGTTGGATTCAAACCAACGACCCAATAGATAGGGTAAACAGTGTGTGTAATCTGACTAAGCTTCCCTCCGAACCGTGCGTGCAAGATTTCCAAGCACACGGCTCTCCATCAGTTTGGCAAGACTACTGACTGTTTCCCTTCCATTTTCATGTACTATGGGAACTCTGTCGCCACACTTCGTGCCGGCACACGGACAAAAAAGTTGAAGGCGTTCCCGAATTTTCTTGGTAGAGGCAACTTCGTTGCTCTTTCATGAGACTGCTGAATAGGCCACTGACCCGAAATTCTTCATAGCTTGCGCTCCTTAGGTTGTGAATATCGGTGCATGTCAAAGCAGAGGCCTCAGAAGTCTGGCTAGCGCCCTGCTTAGTCCCATTCGTCGAGCGTACAAACATGAAGAAGTGTCCTTAACTCTCAAGTATGCGACGTGCTTGGTTTCGCGGTCCAAGTCCGTCGATTTAGGCTCCTTCCCCTCTGCCGGTAGGTACGAAGTGTGGTAGGTACTACGAGCCCTCTGCCCCATTCGAAGAGAGATTCGAATGGTTCACCGGTTCCACCGTATGCTCTCTGGGTTAAATCGAGTACGCAGTGCGCTTCTGATGCTGTTGCCACTTCGTGGCCATAGCCGATCGAGACAAGTTTGAATCTGAACCGTGTTCTTGGCTCTGTTATTTCTGAGCTTGTGTGGCCGCAAGTCGCTAGCTTGATCGTCATCTGTTTGTACGCGTGCTGAGCATCGAAGAAGTCGAGTCCGATTGCAGCCCTGGCTCCATTTCCATTCTGGGGAGCATCAGGCCGGTTCCTATTCCACCGGCAAATCAGAATAAAATGTTACAAAATGACACACACTCATGCTTCCTTCCGTCTGGCCGAAGGAACCCTGACCAGCATTGATTACTCCAGCAACGTAGAGGATTGACTGTCAGCTTGCCTTACTCCCGCTTTCCTCTCAGGTCCACATCATGAACCTGTCAGATAAATAATAAAGAGCAAGAAAGGTAAAAGATGCTACGGGGGATGCAATCGCGGAGCTTGCCCTTCAATATTATGTGGCCTGTGATGGATCCTGTCCATCTGCTGGCTGGGATCTCTTTCT